TTCACAAGGACGTGTCGTACAGAAATGAAAGCCGGTCCGCAACTGGCACTTATATCCCTTCTCACCGAAAGCGGCGAGTTTCGATAGGCTGAGAAGGTGACATTGCGAAAACAGCCAATGGGAACGTGGATCGAATTCTAACCAATGGCGATAAACTACGGAGAGCTATGACTGTAAAACGTCCCTCACCCAATAAAAACTAAGACTGACGGAAACCCTAATTTGCATACGGTCCCTATAAAAGGAGGGCGCTCACGCTGGTTTTCTGTCTGCGATCCTGAGTTTTTTAGCAGTAGCGGAGTGAACGATTTATTATAATGCCCGAGCCGGCCAAGTCCGCCCCCGCGCCCAAGAAAGGCTCTAAAAAGGCGGTGACCAAGACGCAGAAGAAGGGCGACAAGAAACGGCGCAAGAGGCGCAAGGAGAGCTACTCGATCTACGTGTACAAGGTGCTGAAGCAGGTGCACCCCGACACGGGCATCTCGTCCAAGGCCATGGGCATCATGAACTCCTTCGTCAACGACATCTTCGAGCGCATCGCCGGCGAGGCCTCGCGCCTGGCGCACTACAACAAGCGCTCCACCATCACCTCGCGGGAGATCCAGACGGCCGTGCGGCTCTTGCTGCCTGGCGAGCTGGCCAAGCACGCCGTCTCCGAGGGCACCAAGGCTGTCACCAAATACACCAGCTCCAAGTAAGCTGCGTCTGCGCCCTGTGCCACACCTTCTCAACTCAAAGGCTCTTTTAAGAGCCACCCACCTTTTCAGTAAAAGAGCTGATGCTGCGGTGACTTGTTCTTAGCTGTTGCAGGTCGCTCTGAGGGAAGAGAGCAGTGATAGTGTGAAAGCACTGTAAGTGGCGAGAAACCCGGGATGTTACCTGTTCGCAGTAAACGGTGCGTTCTCTGCCTCAGTGGAGCAGAGAACGCTCACGATTGCATAAAAATACCCCGGAGCCCGCTTCACTTTCACGTACAGTTCGGGGGTGGGGGCGTTGAACAGTAAACGAGCGTTGGGGGTGTTCTCTTTAAATGCCCGAAATAAGCGTGTTCCGGTTAGGCGGTGCTTGCTCTTTCCCGGTGAGGCACTCTAACGGAAGACGTGCGAATCGGCAACACGGAAAGCACAGACGGTTCAAGATGACCGTGTGCTTTTTTTTTTCCAGCAAAAAGCTGCAGGAGGGACCCCTCCACCGTTAGCGTCCTCGCGGGCGACAGGGGGAGGCAAACCGGAGCGCTCCACGGCGTTCTCGCC